CTAGAAAGTTTCAAATAAAAATTCCAATACAACAAATCAATGCTCTTTTAAAAAAAAGTTGAAATCTAAAGCGACACTGTAATATAAATTAGGGGGCCTATTATTTTTTATAGTAATAGAATTTAAATTTCCTTTCAAGTTATTTTTAAAAAAAAATTTTTTTTTTCCAAATGTAATAAAATGGACTTTTTGTCTCAATTGATATTTTGAAAAATTGTGTTAATATTTTAATTATAATTTTTAAGAAACAGTGTTTGTGACAAACTTTAAAAAATGTGTTTGTGTAAGTTCAATGTATAACTGATTTTATGTGAGAGATTTGAAAGTTCCCAATTGTTTTATTTGCAAGATATAAGACATATATACTATTCAATCTAACACTACAGTCAAGTACAACTTATGTTGTAAGTTACTGTTTATAACTTCCATTTAACCTTTTTAATTTTGATTTGTTAAATGGTAGGCATTTTACATGACCCTAATTCTCATACTTAAATCCTCCTCATAACTTATGGCACAGTTTCTTAATCAGCAATGTCTGCAGACCCAGGGGTTGTGGTCTGCTGGAGGACACAAACATATTTTAGCTTAAACACATAAAGTACCAAATAATATAAGATAAATTGAAAAATGCGTCCCAAAATTATTATTTTTTTTAGGTAATAATAGAAAACAGTTATCTACTATCAGAACAACACAAGAAAAAAATAGAGACAAACATATTTTAAAAATCACTTTCCATTAATTTTGGTTTGGAAAAGGAATGAGGAGATAATAATAAGTCAGGAATGAGAAAGGGTTGGTAAAGAAAGCTTGTAAAATGTTCATTAGTAATATGCAATCATCAGCTAAACTTTCACTTCTGAGCAGATTTTTCTTTTTGGGGGGAAATTCTAAAAAAGGACAAAATGAAAAGTTATATTCATTATAAAGTCAAAGTTAATAATGAATGAAGATTAACAATATTTATGCCTACCAATACCATAAATATCAATTTAGAAAAATTGCTTTGTGTATAATATAACTGTGCAGGATTTTTCCTCTTAGATAAAAAGATAGGTTAGATCTTACATGAAAGTTTTATTTATTTTTATTAATCTATGAGTATCCCGAGCATAGCTACATTTGGACTAGAAATAATACTTCAGACCAGGTGTTTCCCAAATTAAAATAAAACATAATGAATCAATCTGGCACTGGTACCTAGTGCAATTTTGTACACCAATCCACCTAACTTAACAGTTTGGCAAAAGCTGCTATCTAAGACTATTGCTATAATGTCCAGTTCATGTCCATAGTATAGTATTACTTATATGTAATTTAGCTCTTCTTCTTGAATGTATCCATTAGGCCGACATTGTAATTCATAATATTAAGTCTCAAGCTACAAAAAAGTAAATTAATAACATTATAGAAACTTAGCCTGCAATATTTTTAGAATAATATTTATAATTATATTATTATATACTACTACTACTGGTATAAATTATAAAGTAGGCTACATCATCTGACATCTGATATTTTTTATAATAACTCAGGTGAAGGTGTTATTAACAACTTCTAAGCAAACCTTAATTAAAATTTAATCTTACAAAGTCTTTGGCCTAGGCCTATTCTTCTAAACTATGACTAAACTAAGCCCAACCTAGTAGACCAAGTGACCTGAGCGTAGCTGCCTGAGTAATACTGACATTTTCATTTACATTACACTACACATATTCCAGACATTGCAATGATTGTGTTTGATTTTGAATCGATAACTATTCGTATTTATAACCTTAAAAATGTATGGTAAATTCCGAGAGAGCGGACATCTTGTTTCTAAGGAAACGTACTAAATCATATCATTATAAATGAAATGTAGCAAACATTTAGTATACAAAAACTCTCTTTTGACAAGGAAATGTTAAAATAAATAAAATTGTATCATTTAAAAAAAAAACTAATTATCATTTTTACACATTATATAATAATATGAAAGAAAATAATAAAATAAATTCAAAATCTAAAATATAGTAGTAGTAGTATTAGTATTAGTATAAGTAATAAGTATAATTATCGATTTCCACAATTTCACACACGAATTTGAATGTCTTAATACTTGCTGCATAGTTCACACTATCAAATTTTGCGTTAAATTTCTTTTTGCACGCATTATTTTGTTTTACTATGCACTACTATACAGTGCGTTCAAAAAGAGATTTAAGTATCGAACTTTTGAATGTCTGAACTGAGCATTGGCAAAAGTAAGCAGCCTTCTATTTACAACAAAAAACCACACAAAAAAAAACAAAAAAAAACTTTGTTTCGATCAAATTTCCTTTCGACCAAACTTCCTGTCGATCAAATTTCCTATCGACCAAACTTCCTGTCGATCAAATTTCCTTTCGACCAAACTTCCATTCGATCAAAATTCCGTTCGGTTAAACTTCCGGTCGAACAAATTTCCGTTCGGTCAAACTTCCGGTCGATCAAATTTCCGTTCGACCAAACTTCCGTTCGATCAAATTTCCGTTCGACCAAACTTCCGGGCGATCAAATTTCCGTTCGACCAAACTTCCGGTCGATCAAATTTCCGTTCGACCAAACTTCCGGTCGATCAAAATTCCGGTCGATCAAACTTCCGTCCATCAATTTACCGTCGACAAAATTTCTTTCGATGAAATTTCCGGTAACCGTATTTTGTAGCTGTGCCGTGATGCTGGAATGATGTAATTTGTAGCTGTGCCGTGATGCTGGAATGATGTAATTTGTAGCTGTGCTGTGATGCTGGAATGATGTAATTTGTAGCTGTGTCGTGATGCTGGGATGATGTAATTTGTAGCTGTGCCGTGATGCTGGAATGATGTAATTTGTAGCTGT